CCACTTACACTGCTGGGTGGACAGAGGCGGGAAGATTTAAGAAACTTGAAAATGCTTTCAACCGTCAACACTGGGCGATTGAATGGTGGCCTCTGGACTTCAAGTCACGTGTGCTGAGCATTAGACCACAGCAATTTTTTAAACAAAATCCAGTAAGGTTGTTTTAAACGTACATATGTCACGTATTGTAGTTGCTAGTGCAGAAGTATTCAGTAATTAATGCAGAATTATCATGCATGTAAAATTGTCAGAACGTCACACTCACGAGCAATCAAAGGGATTCAGAGAAACACACCCCGATCATATGAACATGGAAAATCCATAAATGTTCTGCCCCACGGCAGATATGGGGGTGTGTTTACACAGGAACTTTCTGATATGACGGTGTTGAGCTTGGTCATGTGACCAGGAAGTTACGAGTTAAGGGTCTCTAAGCCACGAGGCCAGGCAGGTGTGTCAGCCATTACATAGAGTACAAAATGGAGGCACAATTAGGGTCTCAGTGAAGACAGGTGCTTCTGTTCATTGCGAGACTTTAAGAAGAATTGTCTGTAAGTTCGTTTATGTTCTTATAACACTGGGGATGTTGTTATAATGTTAGAATTGCCATTATAATGCTGTAAATGCCTTTATAATACTGTTAAATTGTTCCGATGAATATGAGGCCTAGTTAACAACGAAGCCTGCCACTTGCATTATTGTAAATGTTATTTGTAGTTGGATAAATCTTGACTTAAAGCTTTCATGACCTCAGAAATTCATATTCTTGGGTCTTTCAGTAAAGTCATATAGATAGGTTAAAAGAAAATAACAAAAAATAACAAAAAAAATTACGACGTTTCGATCACAACACAAGCAATCATCATCAGGAGAAAAAACAGCTATCATCAGGAGAAAAATTGCTGTGATTGCTTGTGTTGTGATCGACACGTCGTAGTTTTTTGTTATTTTCTTTGAACCAATCAACGTGACTTTAACAAAAGACCCAAGCATATGTAGCTGGATAAGTCGAGCCAGACTTGTGCCCATGTAACTTTAATGCGTTCATGAGAGCAAGGATGAATAAATATCTCATTCGCAGTTCAGTGTTATATGCAGCATTGTACATTTAGGCTGCAGAATGAATAAACTGCCAAATCGCTGCGCGTGGCACTAACGGTTTTTTTATAAATACACCGTTTAAAAATAAATAAATGTATGCAAACCGACACACCTGAAGACGACCGTTTGTGTTATGGTCGAAACGTCGTGAGATTTTTTATTGTTTTATATATATTTTATTGTTTCCCTTCAACGTGACTTTACCGAAAGAACTAAGAATATAATATTCTCTTGTATAGCTATTCAGTGCTAGTGTAGGTACCTGGTCCATCCAGGACCTATTGTTCAGATTCATGTCATCTAAGACAAAGTTATGATGCTGCAGTGTTCATTCATTGTATTGATATTGCAAGTACAGGGTGTTTAAAAGAGATGGACCCAATTTGAAAGCAGTATATTTCACGATGGCAACATGTTACAATTACACAAAAAGTTACTTGAGTTATCAAGTTTTACTAACCATTTTATAAATGCTCTATGTGCCCTCCACCTGCTGTACGGACAACATCGAGACGATAGTTGAAATCGTCCCAAACGCCTCTCTTCTCACGTTTTCCTCTGAGGTGCATGGTCGCCCTGTGCTCTTCCCCTTACATAAACAGCAGCCCGTTTCCTCAAATTGTCGGTACCAAAGACGAATGGTCTTTGACATTGGCGGATCAATGCCAAAACGTCGTTGAAACGCACGCTGCACCGCAATTACGGATTCAGTCTTTCTGAACTGCAGAACGCAAAACGCCTTGTGTTGCGAGGTTAACATCTTCGGAATGACTGAGGCTAGGGGCTGTTTGTGCGCTGGGAGAGGCATCTAGCGGAAATCATTTGAAACTCTATGCCTCGCCCTTTCAAGTAGTAAGAGTTTCATTCATGGGTGGTTCGTGGTTGCAGAGATATAGCGATTTCAAATCGGGTCCATATTTTAAAAACACCCTGTATTAAGAGATGCTGTATTTTGTGCTGTGTTTTTCCATCAGTTTTACCTCATTCTATAAATTAAATACGTTGGAGTCGGATGCTCACCCTGGCTCTGAAGGTTTATTGAATGCGAGGTTATCTACTCGGATAGTGGTGCAATGCAGCGCACAGCAAGGCCGAGACAATAAATATCTTCCCATGCTGATGTCATTGAGAAACCACTTTGACTAACTCTTTAATTCATATCATATGTTGTAAAGTCTGGTGTCATTAAGCAATACCGTATGTTGTTGTGTCTATGCACTTTTATGTTAGATCTATGGTAGATTATGTTATAATCAGTGGAGTGAATTGTTATAATGGATGTATTTACTTATTTGGATTTTACTGAGGAATATCACATATTTGGGAAGTTGTGATGCAGTGGCTAGCACATTGCGCTATGAACGTGGATATATTTAGAGATAAACTTAAAAAAACAATTTATTTCCTAGGATATGTTAGATAAACTAGAGATGTTTTTTTTTCTGTACGGCAATGTGAGGCTGTTTGTTGGGTCTGCTGCGCCTTATAAAAGTAAATATTAATTATAAAATATCAACTTGTTTCCTGCCAAGGCTAAAATCTGAACTGGTCCCACTTTCAACCCACACTGAGCAGCATGGTGAAGTATGGGTAAACAACCCCTATTGCAGAGACGACATAGGAGGAATGCATCCATCCAACAGGGCATTGACAAAGAGCTGTAAATTAAACACATTTAACACACGAGGATGAATGAAAACGTCCTTCATTAGATTGGTGGACGGGCTGATAGCCAGCTCCTCACAGTCTGGTGAAACACACTAATCTTGGGGGGATGTCGAGGCAGACGAGGGCCTGTCTCAGCCGACTGGTAAACAGGAGATATCAACACAGGAGGCAACAGTCAAATTAATTGGATTAAAGATTGGATTAAACTGCAAGGTTGATTAAATTAGGAATAAGAGGTGAATGTAGAAAGTATGAATGGGATATGGGAGGAGAGGATGTGTATGGATAAAATGAATACAGCTTAGTGTTGGGGAAAATCATGGAGGGGGGGAGTCCTGGAAATGCCTCGCATGCTCCGTGTGAGGACACAGAGAAGTGAGAAGTTGTGGAGCGGTGGCAGTTTTAAAGATGGGTACTATAGGGTAGTGCGAGAAAACTGGGGGAGATCATGTTGTATGCCCTTGGATGGAGGCTGCGATGGGAGTTGAGACCATAATTGTATTATTAATTAAATATGGCTTACCTGAATAAGATACTTTTGGTCTTGTTAGGCACTCTCTTGGTTATAAAGGTCATCTACCTAAATAATATATATTCCATTACCTGTGGATTTTCGTACAATGTACTCTGTTGCGCATAAAAGCACCCGAGAACAAAAACGTGACTCCTTGTCCGATCGTTCACAATCTACACGATTGAGCTGCTGGATTTGAATCCAATCTGGAACAACCAATCGTGATTAAAACAGGGTTCCCAAGTTTCCTGACATGATGGTAACAACCCGATCAAAGGTGACTGCACAAACACATAATATGAAACTTGGTATTTAGCTTATCAGCTTATTCCAGTTCTGAGGACTAAAAATACTTGCATTTATTTCCATTTGCCGAACACTGTTTGCAGGACATGTAAAAGGGAGTGGCATATGCTGTGGATCAGTGGCGTAAAGTGACTTGAGAAGTAGTAATGTCACACGGTCTTTTAAGAGGCGTTTTCTGGACACAATTCAATGTCACAATGCCCCAAATAGAAATGTATTTGTCTCATGACTTGGTGCAATGAGCATAGAGGACAAGAATGTTTAATGAACAAATATAAATTGGTGTTATTCGTCATGCTGTCGTATGTATTTTGAACTTCTTTCGTACCATACGTACCCAAACGTGCTAATTGGAGGTTTCGTTGTTAGCACACTGGACTAGAAATCCAGACATCACTGGTTTGATCTCACAGCCCAGCAGTTGAAATGGGCAAGTTACTTAAATACTCCCCCCGCCTCTGTCCAAAAACGTATACATGGATCCACCAGTTATTCGATCGGTAGGTTGCATGTGGTGAGGTAAAGATGTGTGATCAGCGTGGTAAAGTCGGCTCGAATGCCCTCCACAGTGGCTCTGTAGAACCCCCTCGAGTGGAGACCCTTGCACGAGCAGTGGCGAGAGCAAGTACTTGCAGGGCTGCACTTTTACCGTAAATTAGTGACAATTATATAGAAAATGATGGCAATGGTAATGATGGTTGTTATATGTAACGTGGACAAGGATGTTGGGGAGGGGGTGGCGGGGGGAGGGGGGGGTGCATTTGTGCTCACCTCCAACTCTCACCAACCCCCCCTCCCTCCTCCATTCAATTTGACCACCAGGAGCCTCCACAATGAAAATGAAACCCAAGCTGCACGGCACCTTTTTTTTTGCGGCAACAAAGACGGGGGCCCGGATAACGTTTCGAGCGAGCCATCAAATTTTCATGTCCGCTCAGTCCCATGATCAATCATGACGTCAGTCCAAGGGAATGCGAGGGACGCGTCGGGGTTGGGAAGATGGGGAAGGAAGCTCAGTTGTGAGCGAGCCGCTCCGAGAGAAGGAGGGGAAGAAGGGCAAGACGACGAGAAGTGAGTGAGGCAGAGAGAGGAGAGCAGAGCGTAGAATATTTTGTGAAATTTTTCATTTAAAAGTGGGGGGGGGGGGGGGGGGGGGGGGGGGTGGGGTACATAAAGCAAAGCATTGAAAAAAAATAAAAACTAAATGATGAACGAAGTAAAGTGCCGACTACGCCGAGCATCTTCTTGTTTTCTCTGATCGCTAAAAAAGAGAAAAGCTGGGAGAGAGAGAGGTAGGAGGGGAGGCGAGAGGGGTTGTGAAGGAAGTGAGTCAGGGAGGGAGAGAAGCAAGGAGGGGCAGAGAGAGAGAGAGAGCGCGGCAGGGAGGGAGAGGCGTAGAGGGGAGAGAGGCTGGAGGGGGGGCGAGAGAGAGAGAGCACACAGCCATCCTCACCCCCGACGGCAGACACACACAGCAGACGCGCAGCATAGCAGCACCGCTCCTCATCATCACAGCCACAGGACGCTTCCCGCTCAGCAGCAGCAGCACAAATCACATCCTCGGTTCCGGCAGCAGCAGCAGTAGCCAGTACCCGTAACGTTTGTGTGTGTGTGGTTTTTTTGGTAGGATAGTATTTATTTCCCCTCGTAACAATATATTTCCCTTTTGCTTCCTCTTCGTTTGGTGAATTATTCGCGGACGGTGACAACGCATAGAAACTGCTTACCCGCTATTTCGAGAAGCAAGAGATTTACCGTACATCATACACACAGAGAGAGAGAGATGGCAATGAAGAGTCTACCACTGCTGCGGTCGCTGCTGCTGCTGGCCGGACTGTTGGCTTGTCTACTCGGGGGAGCCCTGTGCAAGACGGTAAGTCACAATAGCATCGGCACGCAGCCTTGTATAGTCACGAAACCACGCGGCAGCCAACAGCAAGCATCCTGACATTGCTGCGCTGCCACAAACAGCACACACACTCGACGGCACGGATAAAACATGAGCAAGAAACAGCGAGCACACACGTGTGTGTGTGCGTGTGTGTGTGTGCGTGCACACGATTCCGGTGGAATACGATGCGACACCTCCCCCCTCGCCGCCGTCGCCCCCAGCATGCGCGTACATCAACGCGCGCGCATGCTGAGTTAAAGTCGGCATCACATCGCGGGGAGTAACGTGCACGCGCTCCGGATTGTGCGGCGACTCTTGGCCCAAGTCTGTTGTGTCGTGCGGTTTGGGAATGTTGGAGCGCGCGGACCCAAATTTCAGATGAATAACATATGCAACTCAAAAGGCGGCATCTGCAATAAGTTACCGTTGTTGAAACGGCTTGGGGGGATAGAGAGAGGGAGAGAACAGGCACACACACACAAGTTTGCCGTCAGCTTGTACACTCACCCGTGGTGTAGGCAGCCTTCACCAGCTTGGGTTTGACTGCCAGCAACTGCGTTAAGGACCGCAAATTGCGTGAATAACGCACGCGTGTAATTACTACCCGTGCATTGATAGAAAGGGAAGCACGTCGATGAGAGAAACGAACGCGCGTAAAATACATCGTCTTTACTGTTAACAAAAGTAAAGTTGTTTTTTTTTATATAAAAGGTATGATGGCGATGGCCGATGGTCCAGCATAATAACGCAGTGGCAGCCAAGGGATGGAATGCACACCGAGAGAGAGAGAGAGGAGTGGGGGGGGGGTACAACCTAGGAGATGGAGCGATGGAACCATCAGCTCGTGGTAGCAGGTGCTCGCGAGGCAGGGTGTGGAGGAGGTGTGGATTATTCATTACATCGCAGGTACGTGAGAGATTGCAGCGACTTGGGGATTCAGCGTAGCCGATGATGAAGAGCGAATAATTACCACTCCCGACTCCCTGCCCGGTTTTCGTTGGAGTGACGTTCAATAATTAGCGGGCGCGGCAGTTTTCACGAGTTCACTTCGTTTCTTGTCGTGGCGAATGCGCGTCCCCACCCCCCCTGCCACGCCTCTCTCCCTCCCTTCCTTCCTCGTGTTCATGACAAGGAGGCAATGACGCCTTCGCGCACCGTCGCTAGAGCCTCACCGCTGCGCGCGTGCTGTGGACGCGGGGCTCGGGATGAGCGGCGGCGCCCGCGGGGAGCCGCAGCAGCAGCGGGGGGGGGGGGGTGGCGTCATCCTCGACGCGGTTCGCGTCCGTTCGAGAACGCAGGGCGCGTTCAGTGGCGCCGCGTATTCATCTATTAGCCCCCAGCCGCAATAAGCAGCGACTTCTTGCTTTCACGGCAGGAGGAGGAGGAGGAGGGGGGGCGGGGGATGTTATTCTTCCGATCGCTTCACGTTCATCCGTTTCTTTTGTGAATCCCGTGAGCTTTTAAAGGTTTCAGAGCGAGAGCATTCACGTTGTAAACCCCTCTGCGATGCTGCTGTGGAGCGGTATGGGAAAACGCAAATGTCCAGCGGAACTTTTGTTCTTTCCCTCCACACGTAGATATACATTGAGCGTATGTTTTTACCCGGCTCGAAACCCGCACACAATTTTGTTTGCTTGCCTATACAAATGCTTCTTGCTTATATTACCTTAACACATTCGTCAATAACGCTGCTTTATAGGCACCGTGTTTGGCAATGGCCCTGTAGAGCACATTTACAAAGCCGTATTGATAATATTCGTCTTTGTAACATTGGTCTTGGAAAGCCAATATGTTGATGGACTAAAACGCATGTTTTATGTATGTGTGGAGACGGAACGGAGTTCTGCTTATGTGTGCTTTTAAGATTGAGAGATCTGGGTGTGTGTGTGGGGGGGGGGGGTGTTACTGCATGGGGTCGATTGTGAGAGTGGTGTCACATCCCTATCACAGCTGATGGCGTTAGCGAGGCGTTAAGTGACGCCCTAATTTACCAATATGCTCTCTAACACACTCCCCCCTTTCCATACACGCGAGCTCATTATAAATAACTTCAAGAGTGATTTACCACCTCCACTGCTGCATGGCGTCCTGCCCCCGCGCTGTTGCCGACCTTTAATAAAAAACACATTTGATGTTTTATGTACATTCATTTCTATATTTGTCACAACATGAATGCGTGGTCACAATAACGTTTTTTTGGGGGGGTTAGCTCGCGTATATATATGAATGGAAGTTGGCTGCGAGCCTGCTGCTGCTGTTGTTCTGGGTCTCGGTGACATGTCACGGAGCGCCCGCTGGGTCGATTGCATTTTACGTCGGCTGATTAGAGCCGAAATCCCAATACCATAAGGGAGAGCGCGCTAATGGATCTTCCAAAAGCGGATGTTGAAGATGATGGTTCCCAATATTTATTGTCCTAGCACTCCACTTAGCGCATGCATAACGCACCAATGATAGCCACAGTTGCCACTGCTGGATGAATACGTCTCCAAGCCGTTGCTATATCTCACTATCGTGCGATGTACTAATTCACCTAGCACCTGCACACGAACTGAATTCATTGCTCCATCTCTTCAGTGGACGTAACATCTCGGACGTTGTTTCCTTTCCCTTGCTGCCACTCCGTAAACATTCTTCTTTGGTTCTTTCGGTAAAGTCACGTAGAATGAGAATAAAATAATAAATTGATAAATAATAAATTGATAAAATAAAATAAAACAATAACATTATTATTTTATTCTCATTCTACGTGACTTTACCGAAAGAACCAAAGAAGATGAATCATTGCAGTCACGAAAGCTTTAAATCCGTAAACATTGTTGACCATCGGCCACCGTGCCATCCCAGCGGCGTGACCTGTCAAAGCCCAGTGGCTTTTCTTAACAGTTTGAGCGAAGTCATTAACCTGCGTATGTTCTCTCATCCATGTGTTCCTCTTTTTGTCTCTCAAAGTCGTTCCAAGCATGCATCTGCCCATGATTATTTTATCACTATTCATTGCAGGCTAGAGAAACCTCACTATGCAGTCCCGTACAGTTTCGTCAGTTGCTTTGCCGCTTATGCATTAACGTTATTCACAATGCGCGATTAACAGATTCCATGGGCAACAAAAGTGATGCGCAATATTTTTGGTTCAAAATAGTTTTAAACACGCGCTCATGTGTATCTTGTATTGTCTTGTAAATATGAACTTGAGGAAGATACGGTACATTATTTGAATATTATTTATGCTTAAGAGTTTTGTAATGTGTTTTTAAAATAATAAAAAAACAGAGATTTAAAAATGATCATGGGATTTACAGAATCACCGAAAACAAACTTCCTTTGAATCTTCCAGTGCAAAACTGCTGTGTTCTCGCTGTAAATGAGATATTCTTCGTATGCCTGGGCACTGCATGGCCGTGGGAAAAATAACAATTGGACAGACTTGTGCAATTATTACCCAGAGCCCAATGCCCTTTCTGACACACCAAATAAATATCGAGTTTTCCTTTCCCGGGGAAAAAAAAACCCATCGAGTGTCGAATTCCCCCCCCCCCGCCGCCTTCTTAGTAACCATAAAATACTGACGCAGCAAAACTGAAGCCTCCCCTCCCATTGGCTACTTTCCCCCAGTACGTGGCGTTGGAGTTGCACCGCCGACTTGTGTGTGTTTCCATGTGCGGCACACTGCCACCTATAGCTTGCCACGTGTCACTTGCGCTTCCTGGAAAGCGTGCAAGTGCAGCCACACACAGGCGAAATAAGTGAATCAGTCACAACACATAGAGACTCATTGCTTAAACTATGAACGGGCAGGAAGTGGTTTTGTGCGGAGGTTCCAGAAGGTGTTTTTCATTTCGTAATAGCGGAATGCAACCAACACACACCTTTGTGCCGTCATTCGAGATGTGACTTTGCTTCTCTCCTTGGTTAGTAAATTATATTTCGGCCTTTAGGAATTATCTTCCAACTTTTCCTGCTGAAGGTCAGTTGAAAGAAATGTCAAGGTTTTTTTTCCCCACTCGGTTATAGAAACACATTAAAAAACAAAAAATACGTATTGTTTTAAAATTAGAATAACGGTTTTAGTCGCAACCAAAAGTTAATGATACGATGTAGGTGTCTGGGCCAATTTTCACTCAATCAATAGCTTAATTCAGACGGTCACTTGGAATTTCTACAAATCACCAAAGTATGCAATGTTACATTTTACTTTAAGACCCTTGAGGCATCGTGCAAGAAGGGACCAATTGTGTTTTTGTTGTCGTAACTAAATATAAAGTTGTCAAATTACCTTCCAAATTGGAAGGAAAAAAAACCTGCCCCCTACCTCATGCCCAGCTGAAAAGGAGATCAATGAACCTCTTCTGAGCTCTCACAGCACGATTGTTATTTACACACAACACAGCGTGCATATTTAGAGGGATCTATGTATCTCACAAAAACACGTGCTTTGTGTGAGCGTATGCGCGTAGTGCGAAAACGCAAAACTGTGGCACCTGGGATGGGCTTGGGGGAGAATGGCAGCAATTACTGCCACGCGCATGCGATGAAACGTGCAACATGGGTGGCGGCAGATAAGTAGGGGTCTTTATCCAGATTTTTTTCCACACACATTTTTTTGTTTGTCGCCCGCTTTCCCCATACGCGGGGGGCTTGCGTGACCAGAGTGTGAGAAACGTCTTTGCATGTTAATGAGGAATGCTGCAGGCGGTCAGACTGCATTACAGTGCACTCCTGGGTGCTACCGCCCAGGCCTGTGACAAGACTGGAGGAGGTGGGGAGGCGGAGGGGGGCTCTACCTGTTTAATGTCAATGTCAGAGGAAAGGGCTTGGGCGCGTTCGCCAAACAGTTTGCCTTTCTCGTCGCCACGAAAGTCGCCGACATGCAATTGTTATTTAAACGGTTGAGACGTGAAATTGTAAAATGCATCATGTCATGATGCCGTTCATTTAAAAATAACAAATGGTGTATTGTATAAAGTATGTTTGTCGTGATT